TGAGTTCTGGTTCTGCCTTAGGCATGAAAGCCAGCTAGGTGACTTTGAGCCGATTGCTAGGAGGTTGGGAATTCTAGTCCCACTTTAGGCATGAAAGTTGTCTGGGTGACTTTGGGCCAATGGCCAGGGGAGGGTGGGTTCTAGCCCCGCCTTAGGCATGCAAACCAGCTGAGAGACTTTGGGCCAATCACCAGGAGAGTGGGAATTCTAGTCCTGCCTTAGACATAAAAGCCGGCTGGGTGATGTGGACCAATCTCTCTCTCTCTCTCTCAGCCCAGCCCACCTCACAGGTTGTTTCTGGGAAAATAGGAGGGGGAAGGTGTACCGGGCATGCTCATCACCCTGAGTTGTTCATAGAAACAGGGACACAAATAAGTAAATAAATGTGTTGTTGGCCAATAAAATTTGATTAATAAAACAATACACGCATAAAGAAAACAAACCATGGCCTCTGCGTGCAGACAATGAACCCCCAAAGTGAGAGGAACCAGGCCTCCTGCTTGGAAGCCTTGTCCAGGGGGAACCCCCTCCCCCCCCCATGGGCTCCTCCCCCTCCTTGCACCAAACCTCACATCTTCAAATCGTTGATGCCTAGCTTGCTGTTAAAACATTTTCCAACGTCGCAGCCAAACCAAACTGCCTGCGGGAGAAGAGAGAGCAGCCAACGGTCAGGACGAATGTCATGCCCCTGTCGGAATCTGATTCGGAGGGGGAGGCCGAGCAGCTGACAGGGAGCGGGAGTGGGGCTCCGTTGGCTGTGGAAGAAACTGGGGAAGGGCAAAGGCCGGCTGGGCAGAGCAGGGGAGAGACAGAGAAAGGGAGAAGGAATTCGGAGGAAGACCCAGGCCCACCCTCTCTTCATCCTAGGGGACGCAGGGAGGAATGGGGAAGGGAGCAACGTGGGTTGCATGGCTTACGGGGGAGGAAAGGGCCCTGATTCCCTTCAATAGCCACAGCTGGGAACACAGTGTTTTAAAAGGGAGATTGCTCACAGCAACTTGTTGGAAGCAAATCGTGAGTTATCTATTACTGTCGAGGGTTATCTGGGTTCCTGGCATCTTCCCAACCGCGTGTGTGTTTTGCTGTGCTTTCAAGTCTGCAATTCCTTCTCCTGCCCTGTCCAGTTAATTGCTGCAGCGTGGGTTGTGTGGATTTTTATTTGCAGTTTGTAGGCACTTCGTTTTTGGACTGAATTTCCTCCACTTAAAGGCTGTTCCTGGGAGAAGTTTTCTCCAGCCGAAGGTAACTTGGGGGCAAAGTTGGAGAGAATAAAGGGACTTTTCTTACTTATGTGACTGTGTTGCCTTTGTGCCACGCTCCTTTGGGTCATCACAACGAAGAAGAAAGAGCAGAAGAGAATCAGGGACTGGGGGGGGGGGGAATCAACCGGGGGGGCAGTGGGGGTTACAAGAGACTGACCTCTCCATCCTGTATAGACGCGGCCACCATCTTTT